TTTGCAACCTAATATGAATATGTATATACATGTATACATACGCCTTGAATTTTAATAAATCCAGTCACTTCATACTGATCTGTGCATATTCACACAGAGATCTTTAATTCCTGAATTCACAAGTCAAAACTCATTAAATATTGACTTGGTTTACTATATTAAATATTTCAACTGAAGCTGTCAGAAGCATGGCTCTCAATACCATGTTAGTGGTTTACGACGATGAAGCCTTACAAGTGCTTCCCTGGAGTCTTGACCAAACACAAATACGTCCAAAGGACCTGAAACCAAATATTCCCACCATTTGCATCTCTATATTTACAGAAAAGAATTCTTAGATAAACAAATTGAGTGTGTCCCGGGATGGTACATGAGCTTCTTCCTCCTGTGACATAAATCAAGGGAGTTGACAAGGACCTGCTTATTGAATGTCGGGACACACTTTCCTGCAGGCTCCAAAGAGGAACCACCCAGGATGGTTCATCCCGTCAACCTTTGGAGACACGATGTGCCACCATTTGTCATCTTAATTTTGACAGTTGTAGCCGCACAGTGCATCATCGGTATCATTGCAAATGGAATCATCATGGTTGTGAATATGGTCCCTTGGGTTCAGAAAAGGTCAGCTTCCGTGAACACTAGGATTCTGCTTTTCCTGAGTGTATCCAGAATAGGCTTCCAAAGCGTCACCTTGGTGGAAACGACCTTCTCCATATTCAGGGTTTCTTTGTACAGCAGTGTTTCCTATAGCATCTCCAAAGTAAGTTTCGTGTTCTTAAATTACTGTGGCCTCTGGTTTGCTGCTTTGCTTAGTTTTTTCCACTTTGTGAAGATTGCCAATTTCTCTAACCCCTTGTTCCTCAAGCTAAAGTGGAGAATTTCTGGATTAATGCCCTGGCTTCTGTGGCTCTCTGTGTTTATTTCATTCAGCTGCAGCATGATGTTCTCCAAGGACACCTACACCGTGTATAGCAACAATTCTCGAAGTTTCAACTTCTTCAACTACACAATGAAAGTATACCTCATCGAGACTAATGTGGTCAGCGTGACCTTTTTATTCAGTTTGGGAATCCTCCCTCCTCTGATCATGTCCACTGCAGCAACCGCTCTGCTGATTTTCTCCCTCAGGAGACACACCCTGAACATGAGAAAAGGTGACACTAGCTCCAGAGACCCCAGCAGAGAGTCTCATCTGCGGGCCATCAAGGAAACCGGCTGCTTTCTCTTCCTCTACATTTCAAATGCGGCTGCTCTGTTTGTGTACATGTCCAACTTGGTGGATGGCAGTTTTTTCTGGAGTATGCTGCTTAAAGTCATCCTGCCTTGTTACCCTGCTGGCCATTCAGTTCTACTGATTCACAACAACCCTGGATTAAGAAGAGGCTGGAAGCAGCTTCAGTCCCAAATCCATCTCTACTTGCAAAGCAGATTCTGATATCAGCTCCCAGGGAGGACCACACAACATAGACAACCAGCCCCTCACTGCCCTTACCTAGATCTCTCCTTCCTCTCCAGCTTTCTTCATCAGATCCAGCCTGACCCCTTCACCTGGTGCAAGGTCTCTGTAGAGGATTGAAAACCACTGTTCCCTAGTGTTTTTTGGGCACAATCTTAGTGATGTCTACTTATTCTTGTCCTTAGCCCTCCATGTCTGCCTCCCCTTACTCCATCGAAGACAGTAACTCTTGGCACCCTGCAGACAGTGGAATCCCTAGGACTAACTTGAAACCAACATCTAATCCAGCTTTGTATTTCACAATAGTCAAGTACGAATTTCTGGTGTCCTAACTTAGAAACCTTTCCAAGTACTCAGGGTGATTCTGATGCGCAATCCGAGCTGATACAGACGCCAATGTAGAGACTCCTAAAACTTGAGTTCCTGACCACCTCACATGCCTTTCAACCACCTGGGGCTTTTTCTAAGCAGCATCTGAAAATCTGTGCCCACCCTCCAATGATACAAGCTAATTAGTCTGGAAAGAGCTCTCAGAGTTGACAATACAAAAATCATCCCTCAAACAAAGACTATCAGCTAACATTTTTTTTTCTAAACGCATGGTCTTATGAATTTGTGGAACCTCAAAGCACACACAAGGAGAATCCTACTGTGCCATTGCTCTTAATAAGAAAGCCTGCGTATCCAAACTACACTGTTGTTGTGGAATTCACAATGCTGTTTGTCACCTGTGTGTGGGTGCATGAGTACCTGCCCTGACATGTACGTGGAAGTCAAAGGGAAACTTGAAGGACTAAAGGACTAAGTTCTCTCCTCTACCAAGGGGATCTCAGGAATCAAACTCAAGTCAGCAGGCCAAGCAGCAGGTGGTGAGTCATCTCAACAGCCCTGGGTTTACATGTTTTAAAGGAGGTAGCTGCATGTATATAGATTAAGAGAGTTCTATTTTAGTCTTAAGAACAAAAACAATGAGGCTTTTGTTACTCCCTTTGCATTTCTGCTTTCACAGAACACATATTTGGAGTGTATTTATATTTCTGTGTTAACCGCTGGGGTAGTTTGGCAGAAGTTGTTAGCAGATGACTTCTTTTTATCAGACGGAGTCTCTAGGATACAGGAAACATTTACACTCTGCTTTACGCCCTCCCCTCATTTTTTGACCTTCAAGCCCATTTTAAAAACCAGGACGGCAAACATATTTTTCATGCATATTCAGAAATTAGTATAGGATATGCAGTGGTGCTTCTCCAAGACCTCTCTCTCTCGCTGTGCTGGCTTGAAGCACGGGGTTTGTGTTTCTCAAGGAAAGACTGTGCGTGCTGTTAAACACCGGTGCTGTGGCCCTGCCTGTGATGCCGTAGCAGAACTGTGACTGTGAGACTTACAACGAACACACACATTTGACTCGGGGTCTCCAGCCCGAGGAGTTCAGAGAGACGCTATGACGTCACAGCTCAGAGACGCTGTGACGTCACAGCTGTGTGCTTGCTGTCACACCCACCTTTTCACGCAGGTCCTCCTCGGGTCCTCACGCTTACACACGTGTCCCTTACCACAGAGCCACCACCCCAGCCCCCTGCCGCAGCTGGGACATCGCTTTCAACACGTGACGTCTGGGGTCCACCGTCAAAACGGCACCCAGTGACACATTTCTCACTAACCTGCCTGTGAAGCTCTTAGTTTATCCATCAGCACACATGTGACGACTCTCTACCTGGAAACCGCAAAATGAGTTTCTCCTTTCCACTTTTGATGCAGCGCTCTGGACTACGGGCGTGGGTGGGACCGAGTTTACAGTGGCTCGGATGACAGTTCTTCTGCTCTCTGAGGGTTTTACCGGGGCGTGGAAGGCATTTTGAGTTTACCAATGCGTTTGCCTTCTGAACCAGCCTCGACCGCAGGTAGAGAAGCAACTCCATCAGTCTTGTTACCAAACACGCCTCTCTTTTTCTGTTCCCATTTTAACCATTTAATGGTTTCCTATATTTGCATCTGTAATCATTCTCACCCCCCCCATTAACCTCTCTTAACCCCCACCCTCTTCACTCACTGAAACCCTTCTTCCCATACTTTCGTGTCTTGTGAGTGTGACCTACTGAGTTTCACTAGAGCTGCTCGCATGAAGCCAAATGGTCATGTGCTCAAACCGCCTTGTAAACGCTCAGGGGTGTACCGGTGGATCAGCACTGTTCCCGGGCTTCCCAGGGAAGCTTCTTGCTGTGTTGGGTAGCGCTGAACGCGGAGGACTCTCTCTCCTTTGAGCTTTCTCAGCTCCCTCTTCCATACGCTTGCTTTTGTAAAACGGTGCAAGCTTGCTTTGGGGATTGTTTTCCTGCCTTTGTAAACTTGAGATAAATTTCTTTTCAGACTTCGGAGTGTACACTGAAGTTTCTAACTAGGAAAAAAAAATGTGTTTATGTGGGCCTGGAGATACATCTAAAATCCGGGTAAGACCTTTGTCTTCTGGATATTAAGCGTGATGTTTCTAAATCATTCCCGCCATTAGTATGGGTCTTGGCAATCTGTCTCTTTTGTTTCTATAAACCTAATAAAATGTATGTCCTCATACATCAGCTGGTCATTAGGTAAAAGAAATCCTTTACTTGGTCCTAAACTAAAGCTGGTGCCGCATTTAGGATGGCCACGTGGAGACAAGTGGAAGAAGAAGTTGGCTGCCAAAGAAACTGGACAATAAAAATGCAAGAACAAAATATCAATGAAAGTGAAGAGTGTAGAGGTCACAAGGAAAAGAATTATTAAGAATGGTGATAAAGAAGTTCAAGTCAAAAGTCTTAAAGTTGCTATCTGCCCACTTCAGCAAACGCTAATTGCAACTCTCAAATTTAGTTCCCTTAACCATATAATTGAAGGGTTAATAATGCAGACGTCATAGGAAAGTTCATGACAGAAACCAAGATAATGAGCCCACAGTAAGTGCTTGACACGAGGTAGCCATTTCAGTTGTTACACATCAGGAGCTGCAAATGACGCTGAGTCACTAATCTCCAGACTCAAGACAAACTCAGCAGGTGAAAATTACCCAACTGTCTATTTCCATCTGCAAAGAACTCTGTGAAATAAAGACACTTTTTCCTTTCAGGACAATCCCACGGCTCTTCCTATTTGCCTCATTTTATGAATCTCGGTGTTTCCGGGCTTCTAAAAGGAGATAAATACAAAACAACCAACAGATAAGAGCAACCTTGGGACTTCTCAGTAAGCTTAGATGCTTCAGATGGCTATATTCAAGGAAGGTGCTGGAGGTCAGGTTCTTGACTTGGAATGGAAAACACCACAAGGAGGCCATCCTTTAAAGGAAGAAGATGAAGTTCCCTCTCCGTCTCCTGAACCAATCTGTAGGGTAATTCACAAACACAAGCACCACCAAACAGGTGATCCCTGGACTCTGTCAGCCAGTGTCCATGACAGAGACCATCCCTAACAGTCACCAACAATTTATGGGACTTTTTCATTGACTCTTTTGTGGACTTCCAGGAAGGAAATGAGCTCTCCAAACAGATGTTAAATAAACACAAATATTCATTTGAGCCTCAGTGAGGATCTTGTTGTTTAAAGAAATAAAGCATTTGGTATTCAAAATGACGGCACGCTTCTTTGTATCTTAACAGAACAGATTTTGAATAATATGCTGGATGCTGAGAAAATTTGCAGACATCCTTTACAAAGCCTTTTCTGAGGGCATCATTCTCAGGCAGACATCAGCATCCTTAACACAGACTTGGGGAGCTGGGCACAGAGCAGCAAAGCCAGCAAGAGATTCCTGGGAGTCGTCACGCGTTACGCGTCACATAATACAATGTGAAAAAAATCTTAGCATTGTTCTTGGTAATGATTTCTGAAATGTCATATAGTGTGTCACATAGCACAATCCTGGAGCAAAGCAGACTGACTCCAAGATAAAAATCAAATGCATTTTCATAGGTTCAGTTCCAGCTCTTTGGTCAAGTTTATTCCTAAATATTTTATTATTTCTGATCCAACTGTAGCTAGATCTATTTTTTTAATTTTTCTTTTGGTAGTAGTTTATGTAAACAGGCACTACTGATTTTTTTATGTCCAACTTGCTTATTAGTTCACACACTCAATAGCAAAAACAATACTGAAAACGAAGAAAATATTTAAGTTTACATTTCTCCAAAGAAGACACCCAGGCAGCCACCAGGCACATGAAAAGTGCTCATGACTACTGATCATCATGGGAATGCAAATCAGTTTTTTCATTAAGTTATCATTTGACTTTTAAAAAAAGCAAAGAAAAGAAATATTGGTAGGGTATGGAGAAAAAGATTACTGTGTAACTCTGGCAAAAAATGTAACTGATTGGGCCGTGGCGATGAACAGCAGAGTGGCTGCTCAAAACTGTAATAAAAGGAAATCCTGCCATCCGTGACAACATGGAATGAACCTAAAAGGCACTGTTCCAATAGGAAACTGAATGGTTCTATCCAACAAAGCAGGCGGGCCATCTGAAGATCTCCACCTCTCCCTCTGCTCCCCCCAAATTCAGTCCTGCAGTTTCATCCCCAGCTCTGCAGTAGACCACTGGACCCCCACCCATCTCCAACAGATCGAACAGGCCTTCCACGCCAAGCTTGCTTCCCCAGACTCTTTGCTTTAGCCCAGACCCTGAGCTCCAGCAGGCACTCCCGGGAACCCTCAGGCCGTTCCATCCAGGGAAGCAGGTAGGCAAAAAGCAGATGTTCCCCTTTCCCCCATGCCTCAAGTCCTATGCCCCAGTCTCGTCCCCAGCTCTGTAGCAGAGCTTCTGCGGCAGCCTCCCCTTCTTCTGCCCCACCCCACCCCCTGTCTCCGGTGGATCACACAGATCTCCATCTCCAAGCTGTCTCTCCCACACTCAATGCTTTACTCCAGCACCAACACCAGCGGGTATTCCCTGGGAACCCATAGGGCACTCTGTTCAGCGAGGCACATACACTAACTGCTGATCTTCAACTCCCCCTCCATTCTTCCTAGGACAATCCCCCATTCTCATTCCCAGCTCTGTAGCTGGGACCACTTACTAGAGCCTCCCCTCATTCTCTGCCCCCCCCCCATTCCTAGGGGACTAAGTAGATCCCGGGACACCGTGCCTTCCTCCCTTCTGTGAATCCCCTAGGTATGGGGGGGGGGGGGAGCATCCCATCCCAATTCCAAGGTGTTAGCCCCCAACACCTAGACTCACACTTCACCTAGGACCCCTAGTGGTCATGCAAATAGGGATTCCAGAATAATTTCCTGTGAGGAAACACCACACTCTCCTAAGAACCAGAGAATGCAAGAGAAACCAGCAAACAAAACCAAGACAAGACCAGATATCACCACCTAACATTACAGTCTTCCCAAGCCAAGATGCCTAGATTCCAGTACAAAAAACACAATCAATACCAGCCAGTGTGGCAACCCTGTCACTGCAGGCCCTGAGAACTGAAAAGTAGCTGAAGAAAAAGACCCGAAAATCGCCTTTACGAATATGATAGAGGTCCTAGAGAAGAAATCAATAAATTCCTTAACAAAATCTATGAAAACAGTGGGGGGGGGGATAAAACAGTTCAAGACTTGAAAGTGGAATTAGAATTGACAAAGAAAACCCAAACTGGGTGCACGCCTTTAATCCCAGCACTCAGAGGCAGGCGAATCTCTGTGAGTTCGAGGCCAGCCTGATCTACAGAGCGAGTTCCAGGACAGCCTCCTAGACAATACAGAGAAACCCTGTCTCGGAAAAAAAAAAACCACCATATCCAAATTTATGGTACACAATGAAGTGAGTTCTAAAAGGAAAGTTTAGCATTAAATGCCTACATTAAGACCAGACTGGTTTAACCCACAGAAACTGCTGACCTGAACAAAAGGGAGCTCTTGGACCCCAGGCTGATGACTGTGTGGAAAGCATGGGACTGACCCAGAACCCCTGAATGTGGGTGTCAGTGAGGAGGCCTAGGTAATCTATGGGGCCTTGGGTAGTATTTATCCCTGGCGTACAAATAGGCTTTGAGTGCCCATCCCACAATGAGGATGCTCTCTCAGCCTAGACTCTTGTGGGAGGGCCTAGACCCTACCCTGAATGACATGACAGACTATGGAAATCCACCATGGAGGACCTCACCCTCCCTGGGGATCGGAGTGGAATTTGGGTAGGGGACTGGGGGACCTGGTGGGGAGGGCAGGGGAGGAGGGGAGGGAGAGGGAGCTGGGATTGACATGTGATTCAAGCTTGTTTCTAACTTAAATTTTGAAAAAGGAAAAAATCAGAGAGATCTCATACTTGTAACTTTATTTTTTAAGGTTCTTGAGACAGGTTTTCTCTGTGTATTAGCACTGGGTGTCCTGGAACTCACTTTGTAGACAAGGCTGGCCTTGAATGCACGGAGATCCATCTGCCTCTGCCCCTTGAGTGTTAGAATTAAAGACAAGGGGTGCACCACTATTTCCCAGCTTCAAACTAGTAACTTAGCAACACATTTGAAAGCTCTAGAACAAAAAGAAAGAATCACACCCAAAAGGAATAGACAACAAGAAATAATTAGACTCTGGATTGAAATCAATAAAATAGAAACAACAACTAAAATCAACAGCAACACAAAGTGTCAGTAAAACAACAAGTTTGTTCACTTAGAAAAATCAATAAGATTAACAAACCCTTATCCAAATTAATTAAAAGGTACATGGAATATTAAGATTAACAAAACTAGAAAATCCAGATAATGATAGAGACATACCTTAAAATCCTGTACTCCACCATGTTGGAAAATCTAAAATAAATAAAAATGTTCTTGACAGATACCACTTACCAAAGTTAAATCAAGATAAGATAAGTAATTTAAACAGATCTATAACCCCCAATGAAATAAAAGCAATAATTTAAAAAATCTCTGAACCAGAAAAGCCCAGGTCCAGATCATTTTAGCACAGAATTCTATCAGACTTTCAAAAACAGAGTTAAAGCCAGTACTCCTCAAATTATTCCACAAAACAGAAACAGAAGGCACACTGAATGAGGACAGTCCCTCTGATACCCAAACCACACAGAAATCCAACAAAAAAAGAATTACAGACCAATTTCCCTCATGAACATAGATGTAAAATTCTCAATAACGTACTTATAAACCAAATCCAGGAATACACCAAAACAATTTATCTACCGTGATCAAGCAGGATCCACCCCAGAGAAACACAAACACCAAGCCAGCCACGAACCGTGCGGTTTGCAATGGTGTCCTGCTCACCAGACAGGGCGATGGTGGGCACATAGCAGCTTCTGATTTGACTGAAGGCTCACTCCACAGGATGGGACCCATACCCAATACTGCCAGGTGATCAACAGCCTGAGACTAGGCAGCCCAGGGACCTACGGGAAAACCAAACACTGCTGTTCTTAAAAAAAAAAAAGTATCAATAAGATGACTCCTAATGACATTCTTGTATACTCATAGATCAACGCCTTGCTCAGACACCATCACAGAAGCTTCCTCTGCAGCAGATGGAACAAACACAGACACCCACAGCCAGACATTATGCGGAGAATCAGAGAGACCTCAGAACACGCAGGCCCAAATGGGATATCTCCATCAAATCCCGCCCACCAGCACTCGGGAGCCAGAAGTGACCGAGGACACCAGGAAACAAGGCAACGTCATCAGTGCACGGGGAGAGCCGACAGACTGAGGCAGCACAGACAGGGCCAGCACAGACTCGCACCAGTTGGGGTCCCATAGCTGAAAGAGGTAGTAGACACGTGCCCCATCCCTAGCCCAGGAGCAAACTCTAATTGATAATCACTTGCAAGCCAAAATTAATTTTCTTCCAAGGGAGTCTCACTGGAGAAACAAAATACTATTAAGGTAGACCACATGCCTAGCAGTAGATGGCCAACCAAAAAATGAACTCAACGGCATATTTGAAAGTCCCTTGTCTTACAACGTTGTCTTACGACGTTTCCTTTTCCCTCATTTTATCTTGTTATTTTTTTATATTTGTATTTATTTTATTTTGTTTATATATTTTCTTCTCTCTTTTATCTTACTACTTTTTTATATTTGTATTTATTTTATTTTGTTTATATATTTTCTTCTCTCTTTTATCTTACTGTTTTTATATTCATACTTATTTTGTTTTGTTTATATATTTTTCTTCTCTCTTTTTAACCTACAGGTCCAGTTATGCAGCTCGGCCTCTTGGTAAGGCCCCTTGAATCAGGACCTGTCCCTGATGCTTAGCTACCTTTTGGGAACCCGTTCCTCATGCAGGATTGCCTCTCCCAGCCTTGACATAAGGGAAGGAGTTCCATCTTGCCTCAACCTGACGCTTTGTTCAAACCCATGAGAGGTCTGCCCCTCTCTGAATGGAGACAGAGGAAGAGTGGATGGAGAGGGGGGTAGATGGGAGGGGGAAGGGGAGCAAGGGGGTGGGGATGGGAGAAGGGAGAGGAAACTATGGTCAGTATGCAAAATAAGTGAAAAACACTAATTAAATCAAACTAAAAAGCAAAAATCCTGCAGGCCCTTCGTGTATATTATTATAGCTTCC